TGTGGAACAACATTTCTGTTGCCTCCAGACTTTCCTTCATCTCTGAAACTGTTATTTAAAACCGGAAAACAAATTTCTTTAAAAAAAAATAAATAAGGATATTTTTATTTTTCTAAAGGTTGTCTATGTTGGAATGTTTCTGGCATATGTCCAGTACTGATGATTGAAGCCGTGAGTGGCAATATCTCCGCCGTTAGTGACAAGGTTGAAACCACACCTTAACCAAATTAATTACAATTTGCATTGCTGGCTAACAGGCCTTTAAAAGAAAATATCATGTCGTTAAAACTTTTTGAAGAAAAAAATTAAAGTATTTAAAAATAAAACCGTTGCTTTGAATCTACTGCAGATATTACTAATAAATGAAAGTATGATAGTACCAATTATAGTCGTTGTGGTGTAATAATGAACAATTCGGTCTCGTAGATCGTAGGTTCGATTCTTACTGTGTCATGGGGGATAGATTTTGTTACAACTAAAAATTGAGCTGTACTAGGTTTGATGATTTAATTCCTTGAATGACCTCATTTCATCGTTAGTTTAATGAATCAGGCAAAATGCGAACACTCGTGTTCTAACTTCCTCTTTCTTGAGATGCAAACCAAATGAATTATTCGTTGTCGAGCAGTAGAGAAAGTTGTACGTGTTCATGTTGGCGAAAAATACGTGAAAACAGTCTAGAGCAGCAGATTAAGTTTTGTATGATGATTAATAAGTGCTAGTTCTTCTTTTTTTCTTCTTTTTGTCATGATCCTTCAGAACGTAGGCAAACATGGCTCTCTACAGCATCCTATTTTTGGTTTCTTTTTTATTATCCCTTACAACTCCGTTATCCATTCACACATACTCGTTAGGTGAGTGGCCCATTGCCTTCGCGATGTCTCTACGAGTGTCAAATTTGATCTTCTTACCGATGTGTCCAAGAATTTCCAGCTGTCTTTCTGGTTCTAAGTGTTCTTTTTGTTTCCATTATTAACTAATGCCTTTAGTAAACATGCTATCAAAAAAGGCAAGTGTTTCAGAGCCATCCATTCGGATCGTGGAAGAATAAAAATCCGTGTCCTATGAAGCATGTAATGTGTAGCTGAACCACAAAGAACGGGTGCAGACGTGGACAGAATGCGAAACTTGGCACTCTCAGATTAAAGATTACGTGTGCATCTGACAGCAGGAGACCTGGGTATTTATGCGTAAACGGTTCGACAGATCAAATTGTAGTATCTGTTCCGTGACTTTGACCAGCTCTGTTCTGCTAAACCTGATCCTGCGTAAGTGTGTGTTGGGTAAATTTGAACCAGTGGCCCGATTGTTCGCGCTCGGGTTCCCCACGTTAAATAACCGACCTTGTGTCACAACGTAACCCAGTGGTGTGTCTCTGATAAATACCGAGAGGGAGTAAGAAAAAATTCTTCAAAAACGCTTCCTCGAATCTTGACAATCTACTTCCAGAAATATCCATATAAAAACAAAGTTTGATCATCTGGTCACGATTGGCTGTTGTTACCTTCAAAGTACTCCCTTTGTGAAGCTGTATCATTTAATGAAAGAATTTCTCATAATGGCACTGTAAAAGCAAAGTTTGCAAACTTGGTCTTGACTTCATTATGACGATAAACTACATCCGAGAGCAAGACCTCTGATAGGGAGATTGGAGGTTTTCACAGGCGGGAACCACCTCGTATTTGCTGCTTTTCCTAAGGGTCCCAGCTATGGTCAAATGGTGAAACCCCAAACAAAAACAAAACACTAAGAAAGCATAAATACATTTTCATAGTATCATTACCATTCATGCATTATTATAATGTAAAATGACCAACAATACCTATTTATAGTAAAATGACCAAAAAATACAATTTTAAATCAAAACGACCTGCAATACAATTTTATAGAATTGCCAGCAATACATCTTATAGCAAAATGACAAACAATATATGTTAACTTTAGTTGAAGGCATACAATTACGTTAAAAATATTTTTTTAATCGATATCAGCCCATGCAAGGTAGGAAAGGGTGTGGAAGAATTAGAAACAAAAATATTGATAGTGAGCGGGAAGAGAAAAGAGTAATCGGGAGGACAGTAGATAGTGATTAACATTGCATTTAAATTTTTGCAGATTAAAGTTGGTTGGAAAGCATGGAGGCGGAAGGGAGTTCCACAAGCGAGAAGTGCGAGAAAAGAAACTGTTAGCATAGAACTTACGGCGACATCTAGCCAGCTCAACATTAAATTGATGACATCTCAATGCCAGTCTAGTACTGCGCTTAATTTTTTTTTAAGTTTAGGTACCATAGCGAGCAGCTGATCCAAACAATTGCCATGAAAGTATTTATAGATAAACAGAGAGAGGAAACGGCGATAGGAAAATGACTGAAGAAGTAATGCTAGATCAGGACCAATAATATTTAGTTGAAGCCATAAAATTGTGTTCAAAATATTGAGATCTTTTAAATAATCCCCTAGAGATTGATATGTCAGTAAACAAAATCAACCAATCAACTAAGTGTTTTCTTCAAAGTACTACACTTAGAAATTTAATGGCCGCTTTGGTTTCTCTGGTGCATGTTGGGAATTCGATTATAAAACCTCAAATCTGAAAGGACAGTGCTAATAATTTTAGGAACTAGTTTTTTTCTTCTTTTTTTTTTCTCCTAAGAGGTTAGCCCAGGTTCTTTTTTAAATCACTTCACCCCAAGCAAGCTGGGAATGCCACTCGTGCTCAGGGGATTACCAAGAGTGAAAATGAGAGAAATGACTAGGTATTGGGGGAGATTGAGGATATGATAAAAAATGGATGATTTTCAAGACGACGGAAGATGTCTACTGACGCTGCATTTAAGCTTTTGAAGATTGTAGTTTTCAGGTAAGCAAGTAAACGGAAGGGAGTTTCATTGTCGGGAAGTGCGAGAAAAGTTGCATTTAACTATTTCAACAGTAAAAGAGTGGATCCTAGATGCCAGTCTAGTAGCAAGCTTAAATTCATGTAGTGGGGGCATCAGGGAAAACATTTGCCTGAGCAGTTGCCATGAAAATATTTGTAGAAAAGACAAAGGGAAGCCATATCAAGTCGATGAGAAAGTGGCTGAAGTCGAGATGCAAAGGCAGGATCTCGAGACGCATAGAAGGGGCACCAGGACAGATATGGCAGCAGTATTCAATGCACGGCCGAATGGTAGATTTATAAATGTGCAAGACGGACTCTGATGAGAAAAACCTTCTGACATGACACAGTGAACCAACTTTCCTTGCAGTAGATGCAGCTATCGATTCAATCTAGTTGATACACTTCAAGTCAGTCGAAAATGCGCGGCGAAGAAGGAGCAACGAAACTCTCTCGAAGCGTCAAGCATCGAACATGGTGATGGGGGTGGGGAGATAAGATTCTCTATGGTAGTTAAATGAGTGCAGTTTAGTTTTGGAGGCATTAAAATTTACAATTTACTGATTGGGGGTCCTTTTCAAAAGCAATGGCCAACTTAATTTTGTCAGTTCTGACGGATTTTCTATTGAGACAGAAGTAAATGGTAACTTCCTCTGACCCAAGATATGCAGGTTCAATTCCTGCCGGTGAGCGTAATTTTTTTTATTAAGATTTCTCGAACATTCAGGCGGGAAACGAAAATAATTATGTATATTGTTTAAACGAAGTATACATTAAAATAACTTTTAAAATGATAAAAATATGTCAGATTAATAAAAAAAAATTTCTAGATAAAATACAAAAAAAATAGATTCTAGATAAAATAAAAAAAAGTATCTGCAATGTTATTGGCCCTGACCTGGTATCTCGGCTTCAGTTCCTTTCCCACCGCCACTTCATTGTGCCTTTTCTATAAATATTTCCATGATAAATATTCTTATGAACTTTCCTCTATGGTAGTCATTTTAAGTATTCATTGGGGTTTCACTTTTTATGGTTGTTATTTTTATTCCCTACTCCCACAGATAAATTGTACATATTGGAACAAGTTAGGGCATAACAGAGACTGTGTGGTATTATGGTGGCTGTAGGAAGACTGGTAAGTAAGAACGTGCTGTTTTGGTGTAAGGAATATCGTGGTATATTTAGGTTAGTAATTATAGGAAGCTAAGTTTAAGGTAAGGCAGATTGAAGATCAGCCTCCCCATTTTTAGCTTTGTGCCACTTTTTTTTTTCAAAATAAATATGTCTTTCCTCTATGGTATTTATACTTTATGAATTTAAGCACAGTGCTAGATTGACTTCTAGGTCTCATCATTATTACAGTTGAAATTGTCTTGATGTAACCGTAAGTTCTATGCTAATAGTTTCTTCTCTCGTTTGTCGAACTCTCTTCCAGCTTCTTGCTAAGTCAATTTTGATCTTCAAAATTTTAAATGCAATGTCAATCATTATCTTCCGTTTTCTTCATTCGTTCTGTTATTGTTCTGTCGTGTTAATAGTTTTTTCTTATTATTATATAGAAAAGTATACACAAGTAAATGTATGTTAAATTTATTGAAATATTAGTGCTGTTCTGGAAATAATTACGCTTTAATACAAAGAATATAAAAGCAAATGGAAATTTATTAAAATATTATTTATCATAAAGGAAATCACATTCACTTTCACACCTTTCAGTACAAAAGTAAGGGACCATTTCTGTTCCGTTTTGTAAGAAATCTGTATTTTTTTTCTTGAAAAACGTTTGATGGAATATTTTCGATTACTTTGTGAATCTTTTTCCCCTTGGAGAGATAGTAAATAGACTTAGAGCTACAAAGAATTGGAAGTTGTGGATAACCATGATCGCTTACGCTGTGAGGGGACACGACTTATAACAAAGGAATTAGTAATTTAGAAATTAAAATATTACTACTAGAGTTAAATAAGTGCTTAGCTTTTATTTCAGACTTGGCTTCTTCCCAAGCAACCTGCCACAGCGCCACCTGCACGTTGAACATTCTAGAGATAAAAAAGCACCTGTTTAAAGAAATATTGTAAGACTTTTGGGGATCCTCTGTTATGTTTCTTTCGGCATCTTACTGGTTTTCGTCAGCACCCACAGTTCGTTTCATGAGAGATCTATAGACAGAGGCTGACAGGTGAAAAAATAATGGTGAATCAAAGAACAAACATTGTTAGCTGGCTGTTATGTTCAACTCAGAGAATCAACAGACAGATTTCACTATTTGAAGGGGTGAAAAACAATTGATGTGAGACTGAATGCATTTAAACAACTCCACTTTAAACCAACCGTTAGATATCGTTTGAAAGATACGGCAGTGGATTCCCTACAAAATTTCAATCTTTTTTTCTTTTTTCTTTTTTTTTTTTTTTTTTACTTTTTTTTTTGTGTGTGTGTGTGTGGTTATTTTTTGTTTTGTTTTTTTGGGTTTTTTTTTTTTGTTTATTTGTTTTTTGCTGTTGGGTAGCTTCAGGTGGGGTTTACTTTCAAACATTTATATTACGCGTTTCTTTGATGAATAGACAAAAATTGTTAAAGCGTCCTTGGTAAAACGATGAACTACATCAGCGTCCTGGGTAAGACGATAAACTACATCCAACCTCTGATCAGGAGGTTTTGAGGAGCGTGGAATCACTTCTTAATTGTTGGTGTTCCCAGATCCACTCTGACCCGGGGTGGTAGCACCTGTTACGTTCCCAGCTATGGGCAAATAGTTAACCCCACAAAATGGGGTCAAAACACTATGAAAGTGTAAAAACAGGTTTTAATACTAGAAATACTTTGTAAAAAAATATTACCAGCAATAAATTTTTGACGAAAAATTATTACCAGCAATAGATTTTTGACGAAAAATTATTACCAGCAATACATTTTTGAAAAAAAAAAATATTTCCAGCAATAAAAAATTTGTCGGCATTAAATAACCAATTGAGGTTGATATGACGTAAAACAGACCAAACCAAAAATTGTTAAAGTATGGCTGAGTTTTTATGGATTCATATATTTTTTACTGCTTATCAATATTTTGCAGATTATCTAAATCCAGAAAATATTTTTAGATTGTAATTTTTTTTTTTTTTTTTTTTGTAAGTTAATGATTTACTGATACAAGTCCTGGAGATGATGAGAAAAAGCGGAAAGACAAAACAGCGTGTAAGGAAAATGCGTTGGGGTTTTTAGGCTAAGAATCCTACTAATTAACCCATATGATGGAGGAGAAGAGGTGGATTCATAGCTTTCTAAAGGGTATTTGCGCAATACATTTTTGAAAAACAAATATTACCAGCAATAAAAATTTTATCGGCATTAAATAACCAATTGAGGTTGATATGACGTAAAACAAAACAAACCAAACCAAAAATTGTTAAAGTATGGCTGAGTTTTATGGATTCATATATATTTTTACTTATCAACCCTTTGCAGATTATCTAAATCCAGAAAATATTTTTAGATTGTAATTTTTTTTTTTTTTTTTTTTTGTAAGTTAATGATTTACTGATACAAGTCCTGGGGATGATGAGAAAAAGCGGAAAGACAAAACAGCGTGTAAGGAAAATGCGTTGGGATTTTTAGGCTAAAAATCCTACTAATTAACCCATATGATGGAGGAGAAGAGGTGGATTCATAGCTTTCTAAAGGGTATTTGCGCGTAAGTGAATATAACAAACCCGTCTGGAACTGGAACTCGGCTCTCCGAGTTCCAACTCCGAGTCATTACCTCCACCTGCACACCCAAGCTTACAGTACCCCTGTATTCACCGAGCGGTCACTAGGCTCGACGTTGCTTAACTTCGGTGACTGTACGAGAACCAGTGTTTCAACGTGATATGGCCGTAAGTAAAATATGGCTGGGAAGATTTACACTTATTTATCAGATATTACACACAGGCATAACTGTGTATTCCTGTGTTTAAAGATTCTGCTTAATGAAAAAAAAAAGGTTTCTGTTATGTTCCGGTTCCTTGTACCACGGTGATAGTCCAAGGTAGAACCAATAAAGAAGAACTCGAATATGGATATGGAATAACACAGGAATATATACAGAGAAGTAGACAGTGTTAGTACGAACAATCAGGTTTAGTAGTAATTGTCTGAACGCGACTCTGTTTCGGACTGCCTCTGACTCGACTGACTGACTCGCTCTCTCTGACTGACAGACTCCTGACGGACTTCACGCCAGACTTCAGACTGAACTCCCTGCTTCCTCTTGAGGCGCAGTATTTATTGCGTATGGAACAGTCCATTATGTTACTATGGGTAAGATCCCATAACAGTTTCCAGTCCCCTGGAAGACTGCAAAAGGCACCTAAAGTAGATTCTTGCTAAGAAAAATAAAATGTTCAAGAGGATAAAATTCTGAAGTTGTCTAAAATATGGAAGATGGTATTGGAAGAAAATGGTAAATCTTTTTTTTTTTTCATTATGAAGGGATCTGGAAAAGTTCCTGGAGTACATGTGCTGAAATATGGAAGATGATAGTGTACGAAAACGGCAAATTTATTTTTTCATTACGAAATTTTATGGAAAGTTTCCTTTAATATACGTGTTATGATTGTACTATTTAACGCACGGCTGTCAAACTGAAGCTCACACAAGCCCCATTTTGTGCCTAGGGAAGGATACATTGAGCCAAAAATACAGAGCTGCGGACCATGTAGACAAGTTGCTAACCCCAATCTCCCTTAGAAACAAGAACAGGTAATAGATGAGACAACAAAAAGACAAAATTTACGAAGAGCTAAAAGTACAGAAAATTGTGGAGACCCATGATCGACCACATCCTGAATGAACAAGGCTCATAGAAGAACGGGTTTGTGTAAATTATTGGCAGAACAGGGATTAGGAGAGATAGCAAAAGGACGAAATTTACGAAGCGCTACAAGTACAGGAAATTGTGGAGAACTATCATCGCCCACGTCCTGAAGCGACATGACCCATAGAATAAGGATCTTGTGTAAATTGTTGACAAAACATGGATTAGGAGAATTTTTTTAATTTTTAAGCGTTTCACCCCAAGCAAGGCGGGAAGCCACTAGGACGCAAGAGGTTACAGGAGATTTGGAGCAAGAGCAGATAGGAGTGATAGAAGAAAGGATGAGGAGAAGGATAGTGGATAGATCAAGGCAACTGGAGATGTCGATTGACATTACATTTGAGTAGTTGGAGATTATAGCTCTCAGGGAAACAGGAATAGGGAAGGGTGTTCCACAGGTGAGAGGTGCGAGATATGAAGGTGTTGGAGTAGAAGAGACGGCTATATTTAATAGTTTCAACAGTGAAAGGGTGAGAGCGGGATGCCAGCCTCGTAGGCCGCTTGAATTCATGAAGGCTGGGAACCAGTGAATGCAGCTCCTCGGAGCACTTACCATGAAAGTATTTGTAAAAAAGACAGAGAGAGGCGACAAAATTTACTGAGAGCTATAAAGTACAGGAAATTGTGGAGAGTCATGATCGCCTAAGTCCTGGAGGAACATGGCACACAGAGGAAGACACTGGTCGTCTCAAACAGGGATTATCATCTAGCAAAAAAAAATTCGAAACTGAGCAAATATTTGTTGGTATGTCCGGATACAAAATAAATATTTGTTGCCGCTCCTTTGCTTAAGAGCCCCTTTTTATTTAATACAGTATCCAATGTCTGTTATAGTTTTAAAAACGTAAAATCAATACAAAATTTACCACTTTGATGATTATTTATGTCGTTTGTAGCCCTTAGCAAATTTTGTCTTTTTGTTATCTCGTTCGTTTTGATATCTTGTTTGGTCCATGGTATCTTCAGCATCCTTCTGTAGAACCACATTTCTGTTGCTTCAACTCTCTTCTTCATCTTTGATGGAAATTGGCCAGAATTTACTGCCATACGATAGGACAGATATCACATAAAAAAAATCTATAAAAGTTAAACACAGATCTTATGTTGTACAGGACTGCTAAGCGCTACCAAGCCGAACGAATTATTTGCATTCATTAAGTCTTTTCAGAATGCATGTTCATCAGTAAAAGGATGAGCCCGAAATTTACAGGTCGGAAACTATAGAATCAAGCAGACGCATAGGTTTAAATATCTGGAAAGCGTTTTGACAGAGGACGGTAAGTGCGACACTGAGATCCGTAGGCGTATTGGGGATGGTCAAGGACACATTCTGGGCAGAGTATTGCGACACAGGAGGATTTCTTTGGTAACAAATGAAAAAAAAATACTGAGCTGTTACGTGACATCTTTTCTTCTTTACGGCAGCAAATGTCGGACGATTTTCTCAAAGATGAAGAAGCGATTCGATGTGAGGGAGATGTGGTTCTACAGAAGGATGCTAAGGATATCATGGACCGAGCGTGTGAGCAACGATGAGGTCGTAGAGAGGATGCAAACAAGCAGCAGGCTTATACTTAATATCAGGAAGAGGCAGCGAAAGAACACTGGACTCTTACGTGACATCTGTCCTTCTTTACGCTAGCGAATATTCAACGATTTCCTAAAAGATGAAGAAACGATTCGAGGTGAGGCAGATGTGGTTCTACAGAAGGATGCTAAGGATATTATGGACCGCGCGTGTGAGCAACGATGAGGTCTTAGAGAGTATGCAAACAAGGAGAAGGCTTATACTTAACATCAGGAAGAGGCAGCTGAAGTTTCTGGGACACATAATGAGGAATGAAGGCCTAGAGAATCTGATACTCACGGGTCGAATAGTGGAGAAGAGAGTCAAGGAAAAACAGCGCATGACATACCTAGCAGGCTTAAGCAAGTGAGTGATAGAATGTTGTCTGGGGGAGGCAACAGAGGGAAGGAACTAGTTGAAAGCTGCAAGGGATAAAAGGAAATGGAGAGGCATGATCACCTACGTCCTAAAATGACATGGCACATAGAAAAGAAGGTCTTTTAGAAACTTTATATTTTCCCTCTGGTGACTCACTCCAGAATTCATTTTGTTTACCAAATATAGATCAGTAACTGACAGTGTCCCAATAGTATAATGTTAGTAGAAACAGATAAGACTATAGCTGGATCAATGAAAAGTCCATAGTGATTACTAAAGGTTTTATTTGAAACTTTGGTTTTCTTAATAAAAAACATGTATACCATTTCGTTTACTCTTTTTAAAATTTCCTTAATTAAAGTCATTTCATTCATTTTCTGTCTTTATTAAATTATTATTTTATTTCCTTAATTAAAATCATTTTTAACTTCCTTTTTCCCAAGCATTTCCGGAATTAAAATAACTTCTTTTATTTCGCTCTTTCCTACCAGTTTATAATTTCTATAAAAATGGTAACAAAAATACGCTTAACATCAACAAGAGACAGTTGAAATTTCTAGGACACATGATGAGGAAAGAGGGCTTGGAAATTTTGACACTCATAGGACATACTGAAGGCAAGAGGGACAAAGGAAAATATCGTATAACCTATCAAATGATCTTAGCGAACAAGGTTTAGGAAAGATAGAAGAAAGATTATATATATATATATATATATATATATATATATATATATATATATATATATATAGAGAGAGAGAGAGAGAGAGAGAGAGAGAGATGTAAAACATATATATAGATAGATGGACAGATAAACAAACTTAGATAGATAGATAGATAGATAGATAGATAGATAGATAGATAGATAGATAGATATGAAAAACATATATGGATACACGACCAGATAAACAAACTTAGATAGATAGATAGATAGATAGATAGATAGATAGATAGATAGATAGATAGATAGATAGAATAAAAAACACAGGGCTTGGAAAATTAAACACTCATAGGACAAGAGGGACAAAGGAAAATATCGTATAACCTATCAAACGATCTTAGCGAACAAGGTTTAGGAAAGATAGAAAAAAGATTATATATATATATATATATAGAGAGAGAGAGAGAGAGAAAGAGGGAGACAGAGTGAGTGAGTGAGTGAGAGAGAGAGAAAGAGAGAGGGAGAGAGAGATGTAAAAACATATATATAGATAGATGGACAGATAAACAAACTTAGATAGATAGATAGATAGATAGATAGATAGATAGATAGATAGATAGATAGATAGAATAAAAAACACAAGGCTTGGAAAATTAAACACTCATAGGACATACTGAAGACAAGAGGGACAAAGGAAACTATCACATAATCTATGAAACGATCTTACTTAAATTGTTGCACGAACAGGGTTTAGGAAAGATAGCAAAAATACTAAATTTATTAAGATTTGCAAAACACTGGAAATTGTGATCGCCATTTCCCTAAAGGGAAATTAAAAAAATTAAATAAAAGAAAGGTTTTTAATTAAATTATAAATAGTAGAAAGGAAATCAAAGAAATGAATTTACATTAAATACCTAGAGGAAATGAAATAAATAAAATCTATTTAATTAATGGAAATGTTCCTGGAATAAAATTTGATTAAGTAAAATTAAAATTAAAACAAAATAAGTAAAATTGTTTTAAGACAAATTAAGCAAATGTTTTTAGCAAATGAAAATAAGTTTTCATTTCTTTTATTTCTCGTATTTGTTTAATTTTCTTAAAATCATTTCTTCAAATTCCTTTGTTTCAAGCGTTTGTTTAATTTCATTTATTTTGTTTATTTAGACATTTCATTTCGTTAATTAAAACCAATTTATTCACTGCCATTTTTACAGTCTTTTATTTTAATTTCCTCAATTAAGATCATTCATCAAATGTCGTTTATTTCTTTAAAATCATTTTCTGGAGTCCTTTTTTTATATAATTTGTTTAATTTCTTCAAAATTATTTTCTTTTATTCCGTTCATTCGACAAATTTCATTAATTTCCTGAAAATTATTTCTTGAACATCATTTATTTTAAGCTTTAATTTAATATCCATCTTTAAAACTATTTTTTGAATATTATTTATTCCAAGAATTTTTTATTTCCTTTGAAATCATTTCTTCAATTACATTTTTTTAAATTTTATTTTCTTCATAAAAGAACATTTCGTGGACACTTCGATGAGGCATAATGGTTAGCCAGCTTGCCTCTCTAGAGCAATTACGACTGAATAATGCGTTCGATCCAAACTATCGGCCTTGGACTGTGTCTAAGTTGTGCTTAGAAAGCCGCCAACAAGACTTTTTTTTTACTTCGGTAATTCCGAGCACTTATTTAATTTTTATTAAAACAATCTGCTACAATTCGTTTCTTTCAATAATTTGAATTTCCTTAATTGAAATCAATTTCGTTTATCCATAGCATTTTTTAATTTCTTTAATTAAAATCAGTTTATCCTTAGAGGTTTTTAATTTCCTTAATTAAAATAATTTCTCTTCTTTGGTTTATTCCACGCATTCGTTTAATTTCTTTAATTAAAATCAGTTTATCCTTAGAGGTTTTTTAATTTCCTTAATTAAAATAATTTCTCTTATTTGGTTTATTCCAAGCATTCGTTTAATTTCTTTAATTAAAATCAGTTTATCCTTAGAGGTTTTTAATTTCCTTAATTAAAATAATTTCTCTTCTTTGGTTTATTCCAAGCATTCGTTTAATTTCTTTAATTAAAATCAGTTTATCCTTAGAGGTTTTTAATTTCCTTAATTAAAATAATTTCTCTTCTTTGGTTTATTCCACGCATTCGTTTAATTTCTTTAATTAAAATCAGTTTATCCTTAGAGGTTTTTAATTTCCTTAATTAAAATAATTTCTCTTATTTGGTTTATTCCAAGCATTCGTTTAATTTCTTTAATTATAATCAGTTTATCCTTAGAGGTTTTTAATTTCCTTAATTAAAATAATTTCTCTTCTTTGGTTTATTCCAAGCATTCGTTTAATTTCTTTAATTAAAATAATTTGTTCTGTTGCTTTTATTAAAATTCATTTCTTTTATTTTAATTTTTTCCTAAAAAAATTAATTTTCTTATTTAAAACCATCTTGAGCGTTAGTTTATTATTTCATTTATTCCTTTTATTCCAAGCATTTAATTTCCTTAAAGTCAATTCCTTTACTTCGGTATTAAATGAAGCTTTTAATTTCCTTAATTAAAATCATTTTTTTTATTTCCGTCGTCCCAAGCATTTGTTCAATTTCTTTAATTAAAAAATCTTTTTGAATTCATTTATTAAAACCAGTTTTTAATTTCTTTAATTAACAGTTTCTTTACTCGCACTTCTCGCTTGTGGAAATCTCTTCCGGCCTCTTGCTTTCCAGTCAACTTTGTTCTTCACAAATCTAAACGCAATGTCAATCGTTATCTTTTGTCATATAATTCTTTTAATAGTACTTTTTTCTCTTACACTCAGTAAGCCCTTGCGTCTTAGTGGCTTTGTTGCCTTGCTTGGGACGAAATAATTCAAAAAAATATTTATTTCCTTTCTTTTTCTTTCCTTACAATTGATACATCTCTTTGTTTAATTCATTTCATCAAATACGTTTTTATTTTAGTTTTAATTCCAAATACAAAATGTTTGAAAAGTCTGTGTCACGTTACGACACTGTATATCTTAATAACTAATGAGAATATCAGAACACAATTTATATTTCCTGAAAGCTAAGGTTTTCACGTTTCTGTACAGGTTTTTACAGGTGGTCAAATGTAAGCGTCATGGGTTACACGACATACATCCAAACGATAATCTAATTCTTGCCAAATTCGACCCATCATAGCGTTGTCAAGGTTGGCAAGGCTTCAGTCATTCACGTCTTCAGATCATCCTCTGGGAAGAGAGGGTATGTACACGAGTCCTTTCACATACCCGCAGAGGAAGAAGTCAAATGGGGTATGGTCTGGAGGCTTAGGTAACCATGGCAGAAACATGCGATCAGTCTGTCCGGAAGGTTTGACTCATCTCTTAGGCAGAATGGTGTTCAAAAATTAAATTTAATTAATTAAATTAAAATTAAATTAACAGAAGAAAACTTGACGATTTTAGATTTTAAATGGTACCAGTTTGATCATGCTACCATTTGTAGTTCATGATATAAGAGTTCTTAGAATGTGACAGATTTTTTAAACACCCTGCAGATTAACTTTAATGTTATTATTATTATTATTATTATTATTATTATTATTATTATTTTCTTTGATTTCTGGCGTTTACACATTTCTTTCCGGGTCCCGCCCAGGGACCTAAGGTTAGAAATGGCATCATGACACTTTCCACTGACAAAAAAAAAAATTACATAGATAAAGCCCTTCGTAAAGTGTGGGCTGTACTTGTCAGAATTTTTTGTATCTCCTTGAGGCATGGACTTCCAGGAATCCCTTCAATTAGTCTACTACAACCTTTTCCAACCAGTCATAGGGCTCCACCTACAACAGGGATTGTTGATGTTCCCATATGCCACATTTTAGAGATTTCTATTTCAAGGTTCTTGTATTTTGACAGCTTTTTGAATATCTTCAAAGGTATATTGCAGTCAGCAGGGACTGCCATATCAATAAGGAGGCACCGTTTTTGTTTGTGGTCTTTAATAATAATATCTGGGCGGTTAGCCTTGATTGTTCTGTCAGTGTGTATTGTGTAGTCCCATAGAATTGTAACAGGTCCTATCTCCGTAACCGGATTATTATTATTATTATTATTATTATTAATCAAAATTGGCGTAACTCATCATATACACATCTAAAGACTTTCTAATTCTACGATGTTGTTATTATGATTATTATTGTTCATGCGGTTGTATCAAAAGAATTTTCGTTTTTCCAGACATTTACTTTAAAGCTTATTAGGGCATTTATCTCATGATTATCGATGTCAAGTATAGAGTGTTTCAAAATTCTGTGTCACATTCTTTCTTTTTATGTGCGATGTCCTTTCAGGACGTGGGTGATCATGGCTCTCCACCTCCCTCAATCCCTTACAGCTCTCAGCAAGTTCTTTCCTTCTTTCACCTCCCCCCAGACCACGTTCTGTCATCCACTTGCTAAAGCCCACCAGGTATGTCATGCGTTGTTTTCCCTTGTCTCTCTTTCCCTCTATTCAACCTGTGAGTATCAGATTCTCCAAGCCCTCCTTCCTCATTATGGGTCTCAGAAATTTCAGCTGCCTCTTTCTGGTGTTAAGTATAAGCCTGATCCTTGTTTGTATCCTCATCGTTGCTCACACGCTCGGTCCATGATATCCTTAGCATCGTTCTTAGCATCTTCCGCGTCTGCTTGATTTTTGTGTTCCTGATCTCCAAGTTGCATTTCGAACTCATCCTTTTACTGATGACCATGCATTCTGTCTTCTTGTAGTTTATGCTTAGTCCCTTCTTCTTGCTCTCCGTCGCTACCTTCTGTAAGAGATTTTGTAAAATTAATTAAATTTAACTTAAATTAACAGAAGAAAACTTGACACTTTTAGATTTTAAATGGTGCCAGTTCAATCATTTGTAGTTCATGATATAAGAGTTCTTAGAATGCAACATAAACACCCTGAAGAGTTCTTAGAATGTGACATAGACTTTTGAAACACCTTGAAGAGTTCTTAGAATGTGACATAGACTTTTTGAAACACCCTGAAGAGTTCTTAGAATGTTTTGACATAGAACAGTTCTTAGAAACACCATTTCTTAGAATGTGACATAGAAACACCCTGAAGAGTTCTTAGAATGACATAGACTTTTGAAACACCCTGAAGAGTTCTTAGAATGTGACATAGACTTTTTGAAACACCCTGAAGAGTTCTTAGAATGTGACATAGACTTTGAAACACCTTTAGACTTTTGAAACACCCTGAAGAGTTCTTTGAATAGAATGTGAAACATAGACTTTTGAAACTTTTGAAACACCCTGAAGAGTTCTTAGAGAAGATAGACTTTTTAGAAACACCACCCTGAAGAGAATGTGACATAGACTTTTGAAACACCCTGAAGAGTTCTTAGAATGTGACATAAGAGTTCTTTGTGACATAGACTTTTGAAACCCTGAAGAGAGTTCTTTTGAAACACCATGAAAAGTTCAACTTTTGAAACACCCTGAAGAGTTCTTAGAAGAGTTCTTAGAATGTCTTAGACATAGACTTTTGAAACACCATGAAGAGTTCTTAGAATGTGACATAGACTTTTGAAACACCCTGAAGAGTTCTTAGAATGTGACATAGACTTTTTTGAAACATGAGATGAAAC